GTTTCAGAAAGGCGGGGCATAGAGGAGAAACAATAATGTACAGTATGTGGAAAATAATGTGTTTTTTTTACTTTAAACCGCATAAACACATTTCATTACACCAAATACACACAATAATGTTCTTTTTAGCAGCATCATATGACCCCTTTAATAGTAGTAGTACTATCATTACTATCATAGGGCCCTAGAAATTGCCCTGAGTGGTGGCAGGAATCCAACAGTGTAAAACTGGGAAACTATACTCAAACGAAAGGTCTTTTGACTGAGCTTTAACAGATGAGTGTCTGCTTTCCTTGTGAGCAGTAATTAGAGTTTGTTTAATGGTGATGGCGGCTGAACTCTACAGCCTGCTTTTCCTTTCATGGTTTGGCCTTCAGCTGTCATTTCTCAGGTTTAAGAGCGGAAGGATCCTGCCAGAGTGGAACATATCTGTGCCACCTCTCCATAACTGCAGGAAAAATGAAGACAAAGTGTACTGAGTTTTTCAGGCCTTAGATAAAGGTCTGACAGTGTTTTCTTATTCGTTTTTGTCAAACTAATTCATCTTGAGGAACTGAACTTGAGCTGACGTCATTTAGCACATATCGACATGTAATGTGTTGTTTAGTGATTTTATCTGATGACGATTCTTCAAAAATGTCCTCTTTTGTGTTCTTTGGATCTGAAACGAGATCCTCTGACGATCTTTCGCTGTTGTTTTGCAGTTGATGGGCTCGCTGGTTCTGGCTGTGGGCCTCTGGCTCAGACTTGATCCAAATACTGTGTCTCTTCTAGGAGAAGGCGGACCTGATACCTTCTTTATCGGTAAGTAATTAATTTATAATATTTCTCCAAGGCCTTACAGACTGTATGTCTAAATTTGTGTTTCAGAGGGCAGCATCCAGTTCTCCAAAAGTACTGATTTACTTCTGTCTCTTGTCTTATATCTATTTATATATAGGGGTGTGATATATATACAAATCACACCCTATATATATTTTTTTTTTTATTATTAAAACAAGTAATTTGTGGTTTCCCACTGTATCTCTTAAAACAGAAATAAAGGGATGACAGACAGGAAAACATGTAATATTGTAGATTATAGTAATTTTCTCTCTTATCTGTTATATTTTCTGTTATGTAGCTTATTTATTATTATTAACTTTTCACTCAAATTGTTATGCTGATAATATATTTTTAATTAAAAAGCTGTTAAAAATGTTACAAAAACATTTACCAAAATTATAGTATTTTAATCATATTTATAATTAATATAAAACCATATATTATATATTTAATATATTTAATCAATGAGTTTTAAAATTATATACAATTATATAAAAATAAATAGGATATTTGTATGGATTCTGCAGTTCTGAAAAATATGAATTTAATTAAAATAATAATAATAATAAAAAAGAATACACGCATTTAATTTAGTGCTTTCAGAGTTTTGGACCCCACTGTAGCCCTTAAAACAGAAATAAAGCAGCGTCAGACCGACCTAGTGTTTATTGGTACTGGATGGAAACATCTGAGGCCACTCAGGGTGGCACAGTTTCCACGGCCTTCTGCCCAGCCCTCGTGAGACACACCGAGTTCTTGTACATTTCAGAGGCTGGTGTTTCTGAAAACAGGAAGTGACATTTCAAGTTGTGCATACATGGAGGAAACCACAAGGCTTCAGGTTTGCTGTAGCAACAGTTCAACCTGGGAGGAGAGAGAGATACAGAAGATCATATCTGGATGCAGAGGAGAACAGAACTTCACGGTGTCAGGAAATATTCGTATCCTCAGACAGCCTCATCAAGGTTTGGATCTGTGGATTTGGATCTGTGGGTTTTAGCACTTAAAGCTGTGAAGAGAAGCCAGTGTGAACGAGCATGACTCAAAGCCTCAGCAAGATCCCAGTGACAAAGTCACACATTTCTCATCAGCCCAGATGAAGAAGCCTGCAAACCACAGTCACACACAGTCATGTTTTCCATAGTTAGATACAAATACAACCCACATACATTTATATTCATAGACTTACTGAAACTAGTCAGTTTCTGTTTATGTCATTATGTATTCACCCTTATAGTAGCATTCTTCCACTATATATTTATATAATAATAAATGTACATCTAAAATTATTTATATATATATATATATGACATAATTTTATTTTTACTAATTATAATTGTTACTTAGATTATAGTGATTTTCTCTCTTATCTATTACATTTTCTATGATGTAACTTTTTTATTATTATTAACTTTTAACTCAAATTGTTATGCTGATAATATATATTTTTTATTTAAAAAAGTTACATTAGAAAATATTACAAAAACATAGCGGAGCTATGTTATATCAGTATCAGTATAAATTAAAAATAAATAGGTATTCATAAATAAAAATATAAAACTGTCTTTACATTTTCTAGCATTAAAGGCATAGTTCACCCAAAAAAACATTTTTTATTTGTTAATTTGCTCATTCTCGTGGTCATCCAAGATGTAGGTGACTTGTTTCTTGAGTAGAACAGTAAAGAAGATTTTTAGCTGAAACCGTGGTCTTTGGTAATTCATAAAATGTAAGTCAATGCCTACCATCACTTTGAGAGTCAAAAAAAAAGCATATCAGACAACACACAATTAATACCCATGGCTCCTGACGATATGTATTGCAGTCTTATGAAGTAAATAATTGGTCTGTCCAAGAAACTGAACATTGCATTTTATGAGTCCCCACGGACCACGGTTTTCTTCTACTGTTTTAATGAAGAAAAAATTCACCTGCATTGGATGGCCTGAGGGTGAGTAAAATAACAGCACATTTTTAACCCTTTAATTTATTTTATTTGATATTATTTCATTTCATTTTTTAATATTAGTGGTTTTAAAAAGGTTGTGTTATATGCAATTACCCTTGTATAGTATCTGGGTGATTCTCACGAAACCATTAAAACACCACGGCACTAATGATTTTAAATATAAAACATGTAATTTAGTAATATAAAAAAGCATCAGAATAAAGACAATACTGTTCTCTACCTTGCACAATGTGTAATTTCAACTTGAGAATTCATTATTTTTCCGTTGGCTGAACGTCTGATGCATATCGCACACAAAATTATAAACACTTCAGGAGTTTCGAAGTCCTCATCGGATTGGTTGAATTCTACAGTATTTCCGGAAGACGTGTGTGTCGCATTTTTTAACGTTCCGCCTGGAAACAAAGACACCATGATACCATGAAATGTGATTGGTTGCTTTACCTGTCAGTCATGTGGCCTCTTGAGTGGGTCTTGGCCATTCAAAGCGGCCAAGGCAGAGAATAGGCTTGTTCGACTTCATGCGGCGCCACAAAGATCGGCTGCTGCCTGTCAAAAGCAATGCATTCTGGTTACAAAATTTGTCCGACTTTGGTCGGCGCTGCAGCCGCCTTACGATCACATGTATCATCAAAGTATCGCAAGAGCAAAATGAGACCAGCCGCCGAGGTCAGGTGCTGCAGATGCTCAAAATCGGCTGCGAAAGCCTTGATGACGACACGCTCTCATTGGTCAGATTCTGCGATGACAAGCATGAGGTGTGTTGCGTGTTTATTCGAACAATTCAATTCCAATAATGCTCACAAATCTGTTTTTATAACAGTAAAGCTTTTGTAGTGTAGTCGCACTGTTATATTGAGTCACGTTTATCAAAAAACACTGATAAAAGCATATATACCCCCACTTTATTGGTATTTAAATAGTATATGTTTATGTTGAACTTTATTCATGAACAGATGGCGCCGTATTAAGCAGTATATAAAAAGTGTTTCCGTTGCTCATGAAAACGTTTCGGAAACATCTGTGTATTTGACAAATATTGCATTTATTTAATTTCCTCTGTGATAAGAGTATGCAAACACTGCGAGAGCGTCATTACAGGGAGCAGAAAGTGTCCAACTTTTAATTCCGCCCCGACTGCAAGCGGCTACTCTCGCCAGCGGGTGGCAGGCTAGTGTAGTTCATCTCGAACAAACCTATTGTCTTACTATAGGGAGATGAGAGGGTCTGTATTACTTACTATTGGAGAAAGCATAACGGCTAACTTGGATCATGTGTGCTGTAATAACCAATCACAATACAGCTTTGACGTCATATACAGTGCATTCCAAACGGGATATATCGCCCTCCGAAGGGCACTTCGGAGTGAAAACAATCATGGCCGCCATATTGAAGGGTCGTTCCAAACCTGAAGTGCTCAAAACTGGCCACTTCAAAGGGCCCTTCGGAATGAAGGATTTCGAATGATTTCGAATTACAACTGATGGACACTTCGGGCTTCCATGATCCTTTGCGCAGATTCTTTGCATGATGACGGTGCCTCCGTGTGGGCACGTGATGATGACGCAGAAGGGCACTTCAAGAAACAGTTGTTTAGTCCCGTACACCCTTCAACCCTTTGAAGCTCTCACTCCGGAGGGTAAACCCTTTGAAGGGATTAGGGTGTAGGGATGAGCCCTTCCGAATGGAACGCAGGGGGAATTTCAGTCAGAATTGTGCGACACTCAATCACCGTTTACGGATCCCATAGGAATGAATGAGAAATGCCGTGAGCTGAATCCCACCTGTCGCAAAAATTCAGTGACTTCTCTTATAAAACGGCATTTTTTTCATGGTAAACTCTAAAAATAGTTCAATCCAAAAGTATTGTTTAGTGTAAAACATGTTGAAGATTAGCAGATAGGCTGTCGATTCATTAAATTATAAGCCGTTTCCTCTAAAAAGCTGTTTATTCAGCGTAGTAAAGCCTCTCCTCCATTGACATCCATTAAAAAAAAAACACCTCTGGTCTCCTTTTCCACGTACTGCCAGACCGGAAGCGTTAGCTTTAGCCGTTACACTTTTTCGGCTAATGGTTGCAGGCTTGCCTTCTAGTGGCTTTGGTCAAGGTTTCCAGACGTTCTGCCGTCAGTCTGAAGGTCTGGCTACGCGAGAATAGGGTTAACTGGACCATGCTAACCATCCAAACTTTAATCATCTGGAATAAACCATCTGACAGTGCTGACATTAACCAGTTCAGGCTTCTTAGTGCTCCGTGTCTAAGCACACACACACACACACACACATTTTACATGACTTTTAGATTACAGTCAGCAATGACAAAGGATCGTCTTCTCCGCAGATACTGTGGTAACAGTGTAAATGTTATCAGCGTGTGACAAGATTGTTTTTACTCAAGAGGGAAGATAAAGGTTGTGGTCTCTCTCTCTGTCACACTTTGTTTTCGTTCATCTCAGTTTTACTCTTTTTGTTTCCCAAATGCTTGAGATAATAGTGAGTCTTTTCAGCATGATTAAGTCACAATCTCTGCACAGAGGAAATATATGTTCTGGGAAATGAATTTTTATTTTGTTTTAATCTGTTTGCTTCTATATTTAGTGGTGTTTGCAAAGACAAGTATCATCATTGCTCATGCTGAGGACTAGCATTTTGAACAAAGTCCTAAACTTATTAGCATTATTAGTATTAAAGATATGAATGACACCTCAAATCATGTGACGTGTTTATGAGGCTGTGACTTTTATGAGGGTCTCTTTTGTTTAATCGAACAGCAGGGACTTTTCTCTGTTTGCAACAATCCGCTTGTGTCTAGTGATGGGGATTTTTAGTGACTCTTTTTGCAGCTTATATTAGGGCCTTTCGCACCGCAGGAACCTTTTCATAGTACCAGAACTAATTGTGGAACTACCCACTTTTCGGCGTGTTCGCACTGCCGGAACTGGGAGCGATTTTAGTACCGGACTGCCTTTTTCGAGAACCAAATTAGCTCCTACTCCGGAGCAGGGTCTAACCAGCACAACTGGTACTAATCGTGACGTAAGTAGACATTGATTTGCCAAACGTGTATGAAAACGCCCTCACCCGCCATGATTTAAAACGCCGTGTAAACACTGTAAGCATGCCAACTTATTTCGCAAGCATGGAGAACAGCGATGGATGGACGGACGCTGAAGTGCAGGCACTTGTAGCAAATGTAGCACTGTCAGTTGTCGTTGGAGATTCTTAGTCCTCCTTTCCGTTCTTTCAATCGTTTTACGTATACGTCGACTTTCCATGTCCACTGTGAAACCCGCGAGACACAACCAAAACACAGCTCCGATCACAGCATCCTCCATCCTCCTGTTGTCCTCCATCCACCCTGGCCTGAATGATGCATATGATATACTAAAGGGTGACATTGCAAGCAGCGAAATAATTACTCATCATCTGCCTTTTTATCCTATTTAATGATATTGCAAGATAGAGGGTCGCAATATCCCCTACAGTCTCTCTCTCAAGAGAGCTTCGATCTCATTTCCAGACTTCCCACCTGTCCCAGGTCTCCTGTGGCATAATTATACCAGCTCAGGATGAACTCCCCATGCTGAACTAAAGAGCTCATGTCTCTAGATTACATTTTGAGGCTGGAGTCTGAGGAAGCTGATCCTAGATCAGTGAGTACCAGGAAGCGGACTCTCCATGCCCTGATGTTGACTGAACCTGTCAGGCATTAGACTTTGTCGTGGCTTTGCTCTGTTGCGGAGGCAGATGGGAATTCATGCGCCCCACCCTCTCTTTCTGTTTTGCTCTAATGAGGACAATAAGTTGATGGAAGAGGCTGGAGTGAAAGGCAGTGACATCATCTTGAAGGGTTGTATGCGGTCATGCTGTGCTCAAACACATGCTGTCATCTCCCAAAGAGACTCACGTAACGCATTTGCTTCCCTCTGCTGGTGACTGGGTTACATTACATCCTGCTGAAACCACAGCAATGTAGTGGCAAAAAGGGACTAACACCAGGAGAAATTAATTCTTAAATGTTCCAATTCACATCAATGGCAGTTGCTTGGCTGGAGCAGGACCAACCAGAAGTACATGATTTGAAATCTGCAGGATCTGGATCTGGAATTTTTTATTTGACACATCCCTCGCCCCTTTTTGAGTTTATTAAATATTTGAAGTATTTTTAAATAAATTATGCTTTTGCTACCAATAGCAATAAGCCATATTGCATGCTTTTTTATCATATTTAAATAAATTTAGCATTAGTTAAAGCATTAAAATGTCTCTGTGTGTTCTGGTGTCCTGTGCAGGGGTCTATATCCTCATCGCGGCCGGGGGTCTGGTGATGCTGGTGGGCTTCTTCGGCTGCTGTGGTGCCGTGAGGGAGTCTCAGTGTCTTCTGGGATTGGTGAGTGTGATGTTCTTCTCATTTTGAGTTAACCAAACAAAACTGTTCACTGACAGTAAACTTGAGGATGATGTTGTTTTATTTAAAACATCCTGTATTGAGAATAGAAAAAATGAAGAAACTAACTGTTTGGAATCTAAAGCAGACGTAACCCAGGTACTGTGTCTCTCTTTCATGGCAGTTTTTCGCCTGTCTTCTGGTCATCTTTGGAGCAGAAGTTGCTGCAGGAGTGTTTGGGTTCCTCAGCAGAGATGAGGTACTACTAAACTACAAAAGATCCCAGTCATATTGATTCAGAGCTCATTTGAAATAAAATCAGTCTGACTTTTACAACACACGTTTTTATTCATTTGCCATTTTAGATCATTAAGGAAATAAAACAATTCTATGACGAATCAGCAGGAAACAACGGCAATAATGCAACCGTCCAGTCCTACCATATCATTGTGAGTTTACACTTTTTACTGCATAACAGGAAGAGTAAATATAAAGCGTAAAATATTAACTAAATCAATTGCCCTATAACATTTTGAATGTTAATTAAATATAAATAATATTTTTTATTGTTTTATTTATATTTATTTTTTTGTACATTTCTGTTTTGCTTTATTTTTATTATATGCTATTTTTATTTTCATTTCATTTTTAGTTTTGGTAAATTTACTACTTAAACATAAATCAATTTATTGCCAAGGAAATATCTGTGATTTTTGTTTCAGTTTGAGTATTCGTTTCAGTATTTGAGTATCAATTAGCAAAAATGACTTTTAATAGTTTTAGTTATCAATAACAACACTGATATAAATATAATCTAAATTATGTTTATATATTTGTCTAACCTTATTATGAAATATTTAAATTTGTAACACTTTAAATCTGCAGTTGAACTGCTGTGGCTCACCTTCAACTCAAAGCAGTTTGTGTCAAGACGTCGTATCAAACCAGGTGAGAAAGACTGAAGCACAGATGAGGGCCATTATTTATGCAGTTAGTAGAACACTAGTATGTTTGGCACTTGTAGAACTGTATAACACTTCAGTTAGTGTGACATCTGTTCAACGTGCATTGAAACCGAATTATTTAGGAAGATGTGGTATTGAGATGCATATTATCAATCAGTCAGTTATCAATCTGTTTGACTCCATGCAGACATGTCATGAGGCCATTGAAGAGTTTTTCAGCAGTAAGCTCTTCATCGTGGGTTATGTGGGGATTGGAATCGCGGGAGTCATGGTAAATACCATTCTGTCATTAACTGTAGTCAATATAGTCCGTTTTTATCCTGATCCTGTATAACTTTCAAACGTCATAATTTGAATACTTTAAAATACTTTTAAAGCAAAAGATGATTTTGCTTTTTTTGGATTATGTTTTTGAAACTATATAAACAAACAAATAAATCAATGTTTGGGGTTTGTAAGACGTTTTGAGTGTTTTTGGAAGAACTCTCTTATGCTTATCAAGGCTGCATTTATTTAATCAAAAATACAGTAAAATAAACACAACAGTAATATTGTGAAATATGATTACAGATTAAAATATGATATTTTTCTTTTAATATATTATTATGATCAAATAATACAAATAAGTCGAAGCTGAATTTTCAGCAGCAGTGTCACATGATCCTTCAGAAATCTTTCTAATATGCTGATTTGCTACTCAAGAAACTTTTATGATGAAGGTTCAGAACGACACGCAGATGCGCACAAAACTCACATGTTGGTGATCTTCAGAAGAATCCATGTATCCATATCATCCAGTAAGCCCTCTTAAAGGGACAGTTCGCCCAAAAATTAAAGATCTATAATCATTTACTCACCCTCATGTTGTTCCAAACCTGTATGTATGGAAGCCCGTTTCTGTCACTGAATAAAAAAATTTAAATTATAATTGGGACTTTTTATCTCGCAATTCTGACTTTTTTTTCTCAGAATTGTGAAATATAAACTCGCAATTCTGAGAAATGAAGTCAGAATTGCAAGACATAAACTGAGATGGTCCTCACTGCAGAACACAAGATCCAGGAGGCGTGGTTGGATCCAGATCCAACTCCTCCCACCTTACATATACCTAAACCTACCCGTCTCCATCCCCTGATCCCTAAACCCACCCATCTCCACCCCCTAGATGTGGATCCAACCCCGCCCCCTGGATCTTTGTTCTGCTGTGAGGGGCTACTGCATAAACTGGCAATTCTGACTTTTTTGAAGTCAGAATTGTGATATAAACGCGCAATTGCGAGTGAAGTCAGAATAGTGAGATATAAACTCACAATTCTGAGAAAATTATTTTTTGTCTTCTCAGAACTGGACTTTATAACTCGCAATTGTGAGTTTATATCTCAATTCTGAGAAAAAAAGTCAGAATTGTGAGATGTAAACTCGCAATTGCGAGAAAAAAAGTCATAATTGTGAGATAAAAAAAGCGCAATTACTTCTTCTTTTTTTTTATTCAGTGGCGGAAACAGGCTTCCATATGTATGAGTTCCTTTGAACACAAAAGATATTTTGAAAAATGGTGGTAACCAAACAGCTGACGGTAGCCATTGGCTTCCACAGTATGGAGAAAATACCATGGAAGTCAATGGTTACTGTGAACTATAAGGTTACCGACATTCTTCAAAATATCTTCTTTCTTTGTTCAACAGCTGAAAGAAACTCATACAGGTTTGGCACAACTCCAGGGTGATTTTTAGTTGAACTGTCCCTTTAAGTCTTGCTTCCCCTCTGAATTTCTCCACGTCCTTTCCACTTTCCGTTTGAACTCACGCTAACACCGATGATCGGGTTTCTGTTATGTAATAGCCGGGCTCATCTGAAGCCCCCACTGATAACGGTACACCCTGGTATTCTCTGGCATGATGGAGCCAAATCTTCTCATTCTCAAGCTGGATCTTATGGTGTAGAGTTCCCTGGTTATTTTACACATGTAGCTAAGACTCTGAAGATCCACTGACACTGTCTTGTGCATTCTACCGTCTATAATTGGCTGCGTCCAACCATCTGCACTGTGAATACAATATGGATCAGACATGAACAACATTTGAATCATTTGCTTGATTCTTTCATTAATTGAGGATGGTTCATGCAGAGTCCTTAAGTGGAGTAATTAGAAGTCGAGTTGGTTAGACTTTATTTTAAGGTGTCCTTGTTACTGTGTAATTATACATTTAAGTACTGAGTAATATTAATTAAGTACATGTATGGTTAGGTTAAGGATTAGGGTTTGGTTAAAATGTAATTATGCATAAATTGTTGTTGTTGTTGTAAGTACATGTAACGTGTAACAAGAACACCTTAAAATAAAGTGTTACTGAAGAGTTGTTATTTTTATTATTTCAACATGCATTTATATAAATTGCATGAATAAGTTATAAATGCATTGGTTGACTTTAAAATAATTGGGAGACTGTCCATGTGAATTCCTCTGTACACACATTCACTTATTTAATTAGATGAGGGGGGGGGGGGTTCGTAGTTTTTGTGATTTTATTGGATAGGATGGTGAAGTTGAGACAGGAAGTACTGAGAGAGGGAAACAGGATCAGGAAAGGAACTCAGGTCACTCGAAGCACATCTGTGCCATATGTCGTGTTTTGAGGTTAAAAATTTGATTTATTTCTCAGATTTTCAACGAGGTCTCACACTGTTGAACCCCACATTTTTAACCTAAAATTCTGAATTCTGAAATGAACACTGAAGTATCTCCAATTTGTAATAAATCAAATTTTCCACACACTGAACTGAATTGGTCTTACAGCAATGCACAGGTCAACGCACAGTCACATTAGCCATATTTCAGCAACATTTCGCAGGCAAAAATGGCCTATTGTCAATAGTGTAGCAATGCATCAAGTGCAGCTCACACAGAAGTCCCTTTCAAACCAAGCAGCTTTCTGTTGGTCAAAGTGGAAAATTCATGTGACCAACTTGAACATGAGCAAAATCTACGTGGGGAACTTCTTTGCCCTACCCAAACAGGCAGATTCCTATTGAAATGTCTGGATTTCGCCTGTAAAACTTCGCCGAGCAACAGTAAATGTGAGTGTATCTTCTTCAGTCTTACATTCTGTGTACATATCTGTGAGAGTTTCATAAGTTGTCATTGTAGTTGTAGTGATCATGAACATATGTATTGTGCGGTTAATGTGTATAGAGGCAGGTTTGGCTAGTGTACAGCAACTTTTGTTTCATATTATGCATTTGAAGGTGCCTTTTTTATTTATCCGAAAAGACAACATAGTATTTGGTTGAGCATTTTTTTTTTTTTTTAATGAAAGGATTGGAAAAGGGATGAAATCCCTCTTTTGTTATTTATAATGGGGCAGCCATTGGTTGGTCAGATATATTTCTGGTGGTGCGTCACTTCTGAAGTTCCTCAAGTTGAAGTGGCATTAGAGTAGCGATTCGTCATAGTCGATGCTAACAGAGAGTAATGCATGAAACAAGTGTTCCGTTCACATTCAATGTTGATGTAGATCTATCCTCATACCCACAAGCAACCCTGTTCAGACTGTAAAATAACTAGTATGGAGCATGTAGTGTGGCTTTCGAGTAGAGGCTTTGTTGTAAACTATTTTTAGTGTGTTATTCCTACACTTTGTGTAAACAATGTTGAGATTTTTTCTTACTGTAAACATAACACTGCAGTCTTTTGATGTTAGTGTTCATAATTTGTGTGTTTAATTTATTTTTCTGGAGAGCAAGTTCAAAACAGCATTCAGGTTTCTCAGGAACACTGCAGCATGAGAACAAATAAACTTGTTTGAAGTTTCTGATTCTTTTGTTTTTGCCGATTTCTTGTGTTCATGTTGCCGATTGGTTGTCAGGCCTGTCTGTTAAATTTAATTATATATGGGTGGCCCGGCTTTTCCGAGCAGACTGCCTAGGATTTACCACAGGACCTTAGTCGGCCCCCTCATCACATGACATTAATACTGCTTGTCTTTTTAAGTGATTGCAATGGAAGGCTCTGGAAGTGAAATGTTAGTAGCACAATCAAATCCATGTTGTATCACATGACATGGGCTTAAGTCTTATAGTGTGTGTGTGTGTGTGTGTGTGTGTGTGTGTGTGGGTGGGTGTGGGTGTGGGTGTGTGTGTGTAAATACCCACACTGTGTGAATTTGACACCAGCTTGTCAGTAGGTATAATGTAAAGCTTCTGCTACTCAATTCATTCTAAATATAGATCATGCAGTGTTGTCATGTTATTTAGGCCCACCAAGTAGAGTTTGCCAATACCTCAGTAAATCTTTATGAGCATTAATTAATTAAAACATTAAAAACTGTAGTTGTTTTGATATGAACTATTTGTTTTAAATATTAATTTAATTGAAAATTTCACATTTTAAGATAATTAAATCATTAAGATACACTGAACAAAATTATAAACGCAACACTTTTGTTTTTGCCCCCATTTTTCATGAGCTGAACTCAAAGATCTAAGACTTTTTCTATGTACACAAAAGGCCTATTTTTCTCAAATATTGTTCACAAATCTGTCTAAATCTGTGTTAGTGAGCACTTCTCCTTTGCCGAGATAATCCATCCACCTCACAGGTGTGGCATATCAAGATGCTGATTAGACAGCATGATTATTGCACAGGTGTGCCTTATGGTGCGTTCACACCAGACGCGAAGCGAATATGCGCATCGCACCACTCGCTCTAGATTACTCGCGGGATGTTTTTCGTGTCGCGCGAATAACAACAGCGCGATCAACCATGCTGGAGATAACTACAATCGCTGTTTTGTACCTGTTGTCAAAAAGTCTCAAATACGATGGAAAGTCAAACGCCGATGTGTCTGGGTTCACAGCACCATCCATAGGAGGATGAATAACATTAGGATCCTGTATTAATGTGTGTTACATTTTACTACTGTATATATACACTGATATTACTATTATTTTTATTATTGATAGCAGCATCTCTGTAGCCATGCTAATAAAATACAACTACCACTACAACTGATTTTAATTGTTTTCTATGCTCCAGACCTATATAATAACAGACGGCTGCAATAATGCTCTCTTCTATTGTCTGATTCAACTGGACGTGCCAATAAGCTCTTCGCTGATTGGCTTGCGCGAGAACTTTCCGCTCAAGTTGAAATTTTTGAACTTGTGCGAAAGACGCGATTGAGGCGAATATCTCGCGTTCGCGGCAAACGTGTCACGCATTTCGCGTCATTAGCGTCGCCTGGCGCGAATTCGCCTCTATTCGCGTCTTTGCATTGACTTTGTATGTAATCTACTCGCGCGAATAATTAAATTTGCGTCTGGTGTGAACGCACCATTAGGCTGGCCACGGAACTTGGATGTTGGCGAAATAGAGCAAAAACAGACGATATTGTCAATACTATTACTAAACTCACTTAATATTAACTTCTTAACTTCTTATATTGCTTTAAATTTTCATATGTTGTAAATATAAAAAACAAGAACTCATAAGGGGCCATTTTTGCCCTCATATATTAAATTTGATAAATTTTGATGACATTTTGCCCCAAGTTCCAATTAATTTCTGACAGAGCTGGTTACAGTGTTGCGAAGTACCTATAATTATTTATCATAACTATGTCTGAAAAAATAATAAGTAATGTCAATTAGATTTGGCATGCCTTTTAATAACATATATTATAATTGAAAATATTTACATTTGAAATGTTTTGGATTTGAATGTTGCAAGGTTAAAAGTGCAAACATATCATTGCTCATTATTTTAGTCAATATTCCTGCGGTTTGTTTCACATACAATTTTTTACTGTTCAAACGCATTTCTTGTGGAAAAAAGGTACGATGTTACTCACTTACATTAGGATTCAAACATAGAATTCATATTCTGTATTTTCATATTTTATTCTATTTTTTTTTTTTTCATTTATTCAACATATTCTATATTTCTAATCAATATAAATGAACATGTTAACACTTTATTTTAAGGACCAATTCTCACTATTAACTAGTTGCTTATTAGCATGCGTATTACTAGCATCTTGACTGTTTATTAGTACTTATAAAGCACATATTAATGCCTTATTCGGCATAATCATATTTTAGATCCCTAAATCCACCCCATTCCTAAAGTTAAGTTTAACTTAGTAACTTCCTTACAAACTATTAATAAGCAGCAAATTAGGAGTTTGTTCAGGGACAACTGTTGATGATATGAGCAGAAGTTCACACTTTGCACACAGAAGACATTGTTTCCTGAGCAAAACCCTACTACAGTCCCACTCTGCACTGCAGCTGTGTGTGTTTTCCAGCTTTATGCTCTGTACTGCAGATCTCTTTCCAGCAGATGCCTTTCCTCAGGACAGATTTAATTAGATATCAGAGTCAGGCAGATGCTGTCATGTTATTTCCTTTCTGACCTTGCATGATAAAAAAGGCACAGCAAAGCACTGCATGTCAACATCAGATATTAGTGTAATGGGAGCACATGGGGGATCGTGGCTTGCTTTCTTTCAGGAGCAGCTGCCTTATGCCACATCTGTGACGTTGATGTATATTAAACAGATACAGTCTAATGCACTCAATGCTTTCTCTGTACTTCCTATTAGAGATGTGTCTCTAGATGAAAGTGCATTCCAAAACTCAAGAAATGTAATTGCATGCACATTATTTGTGTTTCTTCAGTGGGAATGCTGTGGGGCGTTTGGAGCAGATGACTGGAACCTCAACGTTTACTTCAACTGCACAGACAGCAACCCCAGCCGTGAAAAATGTGGCGTGCCCTTCTCCTGTTGCACCAAAGACCCAGCGGTAAGAGATGAATTTGTATGGCAACGGACTGAAAGTGTATAGAAACTCTTGTGTGATGTTTCAAGGGATAGTTCACACACAAATGTAAATTTGCTGAAAATGTACTTATCCTCAGGTCATCCAAGATGAGTTTGTTTCTTCATCAGATTTGGAGAAATGTAGCATTACATCATTTGCTCACTAGTGGATGCTCTGCAGTGAATGGGTGCCGTCAGAACGAGAGTCCAAACAGCTGATTAAAAACATCACAATAATCCACACCACACCAAGAAACAAATCCACCATTAAGATGTTTTTAACTTCAAACCGTTGCTTCCAGCTAAAATACCTTGATCTAAAATATAGCTTTTTCCAATGAAAAAGTTGTCTCGCCTGAATCAGGAGAGAAATATGCAGAGTGGTAAACAAATATGTGGGTATACTTTGAAGTGAGAGGACAACAGGGGATGGACTTTTTCACTGGAGAAGTGTTGTTATGGATTATGAACTCATATTTTGGCCAGAAGCAATGCCTTCAAAAAAATATATATATTTTTTTCTTCCTGCACACAGTTTTTCACTTCACAAGGCGTTAATTTATGGACAGGTGTTTAGAAGTGCTTTAGACTGTTTTGGCTTGTAAACAGTGCTTGATCTGTGCATATTTCCCTCCTGATTCAGAAGAGGCTACTTTTTCACTGGAGAAAGCAATATTATGGATAGAGGACTCCAGAGTATTTTAGCTGAAAGCAACGGTTTTAATATAAAAAACATCTTAATGATGTGTTTGTTTCTTACAAACATGCAGCTTTTCACTTCACAAGATGTTAACTGATGGATTGGAGTGGTGTGGATTACTGTGATGTTTTTATCAGCTGTTTGGACTCTCATTCTGACGGCACCCATTCACTGCAGAGCATCCACTGGTGAGCAAAGTGAGTACATTTTCATTTTTGGGTGAACTTATTCTTTTAACTAATTCCATTTTTATTTGAATGTGATGCAACTGAGGCTTTCTTTGAAAATTTCGCTACAGAGATACAGCACTCGTCATCTTGCTCCGCAAATGTTAATCCTGTTCTTTCCTAAGCACAATTTGTATGCCACTGTCTTCATGGTTTAAGAGAGACTAAAAGCATGAGGGGGGAAAGTGCAAACAATACATGACAAAGAGTGAAACAAAAGGGGACTATTAAACAGGATTTGGTCTACGTGAACGGAGTAAAAATAGCATTTCACAGACAATAAACAAGCACTGGAAGCACAACATCTACAGCAAAGAGGACTGAAATAATAGCCTGTTATGAGCTATTAACTCCTAACAAATAAACATCATAGACATTAGATGATTCGATTATGAGCTCTTCTCTGAATGCAGCGATTCATCATTTCAGTGTGAGGGAAAATGCATTTTCAGTCACTGTAAGTTAGAATTAGAAAAGCAGAACGAAATAGTCATTTAAGTTTATAACTGTTTAAATACTTTAAGGAGTAAATAAAGAGTTTATTAATTTCTGGAATGTTCGAATGGAATGTATTAAAACCACATGGACAAAAGAAAAGAGCAACAAGATTTTCAGAACTGAATTGCAGACAGGAACAACAAGTATTTATAAGTCATGAAGATTCAAAGTATGACAGGCACATGCTGTTACTAGTTTGTAAGGAGGAAGACTTGGAGGAAAAATGACTAACTAACTTTGCTATTTCCAGTCTTCCCCACACTGGAATTCTTCTGACTGTCAACATACTTCCTTCAAGTTGAAATGTTACCATTTTCTTCCATTAATTACACATCAGATGGATTATCTCGGCAAAGGAGAAGTGCTCACTAACACAGATTTGTGAACAATATTTGAGAGAAATAGGCCTTTTGTGTACATAGAAATAGTCTTAGATCTTTGAGTTCAGCTCATGAAAAATGGGGACAAAAATAATGTTGCGTTTATAATTTTGTTCAGTATAATTCAATTATTTTGTTACCACTTGTATTCCATGCTACACAAGCACCAGAGTCAAATGGAAATGCCATTTCCATTTGTAATTGTATTACTATCCAGCAGGAATTACTGTATGCCTTTAAATACAGAGGTCAGAAAATAAACCAATTTTTATTGTAAATTACAGTGTAACTACAATGAATCTCATTTTCAAAAAATTGCATTTAACACATACATTAGTCATACTGGCCACATCGCCACTTTAAAGCAGGACTTCATTTTGACTTGTGTTTCTGGCATGAAATGCACGTCAGCTGCAAGTGCATGCTATGCAGGAAGCACGAGGGCAGAATCAGGCTAAAGTTTCATCTGCAATGCACAGTTGGCACTTTTCACCAACACACATGTGTTCTTAGTTAACACTCACCAAGCATTTTAGAGTTTTCTTTACTGCATCTCATGCTTTATTTGAATCTTTAACTTTGTAATTTTGTTTTAAAGCACACATAATATAATGCATACTGTATAAAACTTTTATTCTATCTATTTTGAGCTATAAATAAAAGCACATTTTATACTTCAAAACTGATAACTTCACAATTATGTCTATTTTTACTAATTTAGTCTGAACTTAGTTCTGAGGTAGTTTTGTTAGGTAGAATTTTTTTTTCTTCATATCTCTGAGCACCACCTTACTTTCAAAGTATATCAGTCATTTTTACATACTTTACACTTATGGATTGTGTTGTCTATTTTAAATCATAGCCAAATTTATTAGAAATGTTGAGATAATAGTTTATCCAAAAAACATCATAGTTTTGTGTCATTCCAAAAAAAAAAAACCAGCTGAGAACTTTTTAAATGAATGTATTTGCACATACTAACAACAAAATTAGGAACATTGTGAAATAAACAAGAGCAAAACACATAGTTTTTAGTTATGGTCCTTGTGTCAAACCACTGTTCAAATAGTTTTGTTCCATATTTCTTCTGTTTAGCATACTCAAATACCCAGTTTCTGGAATGGTTCAAGATGTTCAAGATGACTCTTAAGTATGACAATTTAACAAGGTTAGGTTGAACATAATGTCTTTTAATTCTGTAAAAGTAAAGACTCACTTCAGCAGGAATCAAACATCCTGTCTCTGTGTGTGTGTCTCTTCAGAGTCATATACTGTATAACAATGTCCTCATAGGTATGTCTCCACGCTAATGTCCACATTAATCAGCAGTGCCTCCGTTATATTGTGTATATACAAAACCTCACAAGAAAGGTAGGGCAGAAACTGTTAATGGATGACATATGTATAAAAAAAGATATTGCATGATTTTCTGGCCCTTTGAGTGCATGAGTCATGGCCGTATGCTTTCAAATCAACCCTCACTGAGGATAAATCTGACCTCTATGACCATACATTTCCAAAAGAAAAAGAAACAATCATGTGCAATGATATAGCTTCCTGAATAAGCCAGTTGAATATGCTATAGGTAGCATGTAAAGACATGAACTTAAACTCTAAGCCATTAACAGTCTTCTCCAACAACCACTTGTTTCAAGACACTCTAACAATTATAAAACACATAATAGTTTGTGTGAGATGGCGAAAATGTGCCCTCACAGAAAAAAAAGGTATTGGGGTGGTATACACCTTTGTACCTTACTTACCCCTAAAGAGTGCATAGTAGTACCTTATAAGAGCATATTAATACTTAGTGGTACATATTAATTTTGAAAGAGTACCACCCCAGTGACAACTTTTGTACCTTTTTTTCTGAGAGTGTATGATGTCCTATAACTTGGTTTATATAGAATCTTTTAACCTTTATAGGTGATTTTGCCTTCTCATACAAATTATTACAAATTGTAATGAGAGCAGGTTGGTTTGTTCTCAGATAATTATTCGCATCATAGCTGCGTTTGTCTTTAAAGTTTAATTCAGGTGGTTTCATAGCTTAGACAGAGTAAAGGTTGAATGGGGTTTGTCCCAAGAGAAATTCCCCAACACCGATGAAATAAACCACTTGAGCAATTCCAAAGAGTGGAGCAATGACCAGCGCCCTGCAGCCGGCACTCTTCAGAAAAGCAGCTGGCCCTTCTTTGCGCATTATCTTTCTGTATGAACAAAGAGTGGAATCATCATTAACACAGCCGAAAAAGAAAATTGCATTAATTGTTACGGATTCTTTTTCGCAGAATGTCCATTAACCAGGTTGCTTTACCTGATGCAGTCTGCCACACCATTGTAGGTGTCTTCGTTTGCAATTGTATTGAGTGACTACAGCCGGGTTTTCACGACTGGATAGAGATGGGATCAACTTTAGTCTTTGCACATGAACTAACATCTACACAAACAGGTGTTCTTCAGCAAAACTTGAAGACTCACACACAAGGACTGACTGCCACAGCCGCTGTACATCCAGCCACACAGCCTGAAATAAAAGACCAGTAAAAAGGCACATCATCGTCCTCAGATGATGTCTTTCCCAGCTTGTTGATGTGGGCAAACAGCGGAAAGTAAATCGCAGAGAAAGGGATGTCCCTGTAAGAAGATCAAATGTCTAAAAGTAAGTCACAGGAACCTACAGCTTTGGACTGGATTGACTTTGGATTGGTGTCTCTTTATGCAAATGGTGTAAAGTGCTGACATGCAAGTTATGTTGCATCATGAAGATGTCCTCGGGAGCTTTAGATTTTAGGAAAAAATTAAGGTCAAATTCTAACAAATTTCTAAAACTACTTACCTCTGTACATTCCAAAGTATCCCTCAGATCGAACAGTCTTAATCAGACAGTCCATCCTAATCAAAATAATAATATGTATTGTTGTCTACTGAGCTAAGTCACCATTCTAAAGCTACAGTATAGAATGATTACTGAATAAGTTGCACCCTTTTCACTAATCCATAATGTTCTGAGAAAGAAAAACGAGTTTCAGGCCTTCATGACAGGTAATTATCTCACTTACTCCCAGGCAGGGGCGTGTCTAGAGCATTTTAAATGGGGGGGAGGGGGTTGTGTTTGCGGAACGATGTACAGTATGTTAAAAGCACACGTCCAGTTTTGTGTGAGTGAAGGAAATCCGCTTGGGGGTGGAGAGATTCATCCTCGCGCACATGGATCGCGTAACATTATGCGCTCTCGACATTGTCATTAAGATCACACTATAGAAACCACCTAAAATGAGAAATTTACTAAAAACAAACCTATGGCAAGACATCTGGTAAGGGGGCACCTGGGGTGGCCAGCCAAATTTCAGGGGGGCCAGTGCCACCATGTAGACACGCCCCTGCTCCCAGGAACTCTCTTTCTCAGAAAGTGTTGTCTTGTTTATGGTTGAGTGAACTTGCAAGTGTTTAGTGTATGGTTAAAAGTAAGTATTTTTTGCTTTGCATTGAAATTAAAATTTTACAAATGTGGAAATCAAACATAGCCTACATGTTCTTGTAAACCTGTTGGCTTCCTCTTTGGTTCTGGAGTCTTGTCTTGGCAAGATCTATAGGAAACACACAGTCCAGCAATTCCACCATTGATGAGTTTTGCAGGGAGGCTTGAAAGAAACACAAGAGAGCAAATGAATGAATCAATACCTCAAAAAAAATCTAAGTAATTGTATTCCTAATGCATTCATTCACTCCTAACCCATTCCTCCATTTAACAATGATGTGACATCAAGGCATTGCTTTGAAGAAAAGGTCAGAAGAAGCAAGGCAATGTCAGGTTGACACATTTATTTAATTGCAACACTTCCCTTTTAATATGTTACAGTCCCAGTGTGTATAAAAGGTATAAACTGATTAACTTCACCAATACAGCAGCTTCAAAGGTTTTTTTATTGACTACAACACAACACACAACAAACAGTGGTTCTGGTTCATACCTGATTGGTTGTTGAGCCATGGTGGGAGGTTTGTGGTTTGGTTAGAGGACTGTGGTAGACAGAGGTGCAGTCACTGTGCAAAGCAGCAGAGAGGGGTTATATACGTAACCCCTCCCAGAAGCCTCAGGCAACACCGGTCGTTCACTCCCTCACTGTGTGTCTCCGCTGTGACTGACTGCACGGACAATCAGAGGAGCAGGATCTTCTTACAGTAAGCATGCAATGAGAAACTAACACTACTGCATACACACTTGCATGCGTGTTTAGGGATTTTTGATGAGTACATTTAAATGCATTTATAAGTTTTAGAAGTCTTAGTATTTGAAAAAAATAGACATTTTTAAAATGTTATCTTTTTAAAGAATGTTGGATTTCTTCCTGAACGTGCTCTTACACGTCTAGAATGTTCTACATGAATGACTCTAAATTATTTTCTTTGAGAAAATTGTTTTTTTTAACTGTGTCTACTGTCGCAAAAACTTTCATAGTACAGATTTTTTACTTTTATTAAGCAGTTTGTGAAAAGTGTAAGTTACATGTTCATGTTGCTTTTATTTTCTATTTTATATACAGTACTTCAGCTTTTATTGTGGAGAAATGTTAATGTTAACACGTGGTATTTATTGTGCAAGAATTTCTCTAAAACTCACATTTTAATTTATGTGATTTACATAGAATATATATATATATATATATATATATATATATATATATATATATATATATATATATATATATATATATATATTCTAAGTATCTAAGTATCATATCCAACAAACATCTCAGTATGATTTAAAGCTGAACAGTTTAAAGGGGTCATATGATGCGCTTTCAAGCTCTTGGTGCATAAAGAATAAGTATATATAAATAGTACTGATCTAAATAGAAGTTTAATGTTTCTGGATGGCAATTGAAATATATGTGCCCTTTATTGAGATACTTCAACCAATTGAATCTTTAATCTTACTTAATGTTAATTATAGATACACCGGTAATACATATTTCATAAACCACTAGAGATGAAAGCAATAAAGGTGAAAGAATATAATACATGATAAGATTTAAATTATAGATTTTGACTCTCCAAGGTACACTCTCTTTAATGTACATATTAGAGATCCATATTTTTTATTTGTAAACATACATCCAAGGTACTTGCACCATTTTAGGTAGGCTAAAATGTGAAATGTCTAATTATGAGTAAAATGATAGATATACACATAAGTGAAAACACATATATATATATATATATATATATATAATAAAATTGAATATACATGTATAAAATTATATAATTTAAAAATCATTGTACTCGAGAAACTATAACTAACAAATATTTATACAAAGTTTTGTTTTAACTTTTATAAATGTTGACTGAAATAACATTTCTTTAACCTAGTTATTTACATTTAACTTAGTTAAATTGTATTATATACTTTTTTGATTAAGTAGAATTAAAATCACAATGAATAAAACAACATTAAGTCAATATGGCAAGCTGGACAAATAAAGTTCAATCAATGACATATTAAACTTTATGTAAAAATTAACAGAACATAAATACATTTGGGTAATATGTCACTGTTTTGAATGTGGGAATTATTGATGTTTGCTAAATACTAATTGTGATTTTGCACGAAATTATTTTTGTTATCCCACTATTCACTATATGCCTTGTTTGCTCCACACTTTCTATTAATTCACAAAAGAACCTTTATTGTGGCACAAAAAAACTATTAATTAAGACTAATCCTGATTTGTCCTGAGCCAGGATGTATAACAGCTCTAGATAATTTTTTATTTTCTTGGACAGTATACTCACAAGATGCAAAATTATTTTTGTTATCCCACTATTCACTATATGCCTTGTTTGCTCCACACTTTCTATTAATTCACAAAATAACCTTTATTGTGGCACAAAAAAACTATTAATTAAGACTAATCCTGATTTGTCCTGAGCCAGGATGTATAACAGCTCTAGATAATTTTTTATTTTCTTGGACAGTATACTCACAAGATGCAAAACAAAAACAGATTTATACCCTTTTTGTTTTTACTGGGAAATGTCCGTAACCAAAACGTTCCCTGATGGAGGGATCGGAGACGTTATGTCGTGACGACATTAGGGGTCTTACTTGGGATCCCGAATCCTCTCCGATTAAGAGAAAATGCCAATGAAATTTGGCTAGTGGATTTTGCATGTTGAGCTGATCCTGTGCATACAGGTATAAATAGGCGACAGGTGCATCCACTCATCAGGTTTTATGCTGAGGAGCCGATAACTTGTCCCTGGCAACCAGCGATGGTTCAAGGTTGTGGCATGGGGACATATCGTCTCCATTCCCTCCATCAGGGAACGAGGGTTGTGTACGTAACCGAGACGTTCTCTATCTGTAGGTCACTACGAGTTATGTCGTGACGACATTAGGGGTCCATGGAAAGTGCCACAACCTGAACCCTGTCACAACCCTATGGCATTGCAAATGTTGACAAGCAGCAGCGTGTCAGACAAGTGCTACGCAAAGGTCGTAACCTTCCCACTGCCTCAGCACAAATTCGCTGACCTTGGTACCCGCTGGGACAAAAGGTGAGTATATCACTGTTCCTTTCACCACAGCAATTTCTTTACAGAAGGTATTTCGACCTTCAATGAAAGATTGCTTCAAGTCTTTCCTATTTGTTGTTACAGCTTGGCAGTAACGATGGGGAAGCGAGCCTTCCAGAGAAGGTCACTACAGAGGCCACATCCTACCCATAGGGAGGTATCATGTGGAGACACTGATATGGACTGACCCAGGCCTGGGGCAGTACTACATATGGAATGGAACTCTGAGGTAGGTCCTACCTGAGAGTAGGGAGGAACGACTGCCGGCAGAGCCTGACAGAATGGTCTGTCAAAGGGAAGCAACGGGTTCACAGAGAGAGAAACCTTACCATGGAAGAATACACATATGGGCATATATACAGCGCATTGGCTGCACGATTGAGCTTCCCCGGGATGTGGACAGCACGCAGTCACTTGCGCTGTGTCTGACTCCAAGGGAGGAGATGGTGGGCGAGTTGTGACATGCGACGTGATCATAGACATCACTGCCAGTTGATGTACGGAACGGTCACAGTGTTATCCGTGCGGACCAACATGTGTTTGCCAAGTGGCAGCGGCCGGAACCGGCGCAAGGCTAGTAGCACTGCCAGCAACTCGAGGCAGTTGTTGTGCTAAAGCAGTCGAGGCCCTGTCCAGAACCCCAAGGCTGCCTGCCTGTTGCATCTTGGCTGGAGGGACAGGCTCGATTGCGTCCTTCGCCAATAGGACAGCAATCTCCTCGCACAGGACAGAGGCATCTCGGGCCGCCACCAAAGTCTCGAGGATGCCACTGAACCTGGGGGTTTCCCTGGCAAACTGAATCGCTTGGCCAAGGT